ATGAGCTAAATTAAAAAACTTTTTATTTGCAGATGGCCAGTATGAGGATCCAAACCCTTGACCTTGGTGTTATAATACCACCCCTTAAACAACCGAGCTAACCAGCCAAAATGAGCTAAATTAACTGGACTCTATTATTGTAGCATTGGTCCCTTCAGTGCATCACTATTTCTATCTACTTTTTAGTTTCAGTTCAACAAATAACTTGAGGGTCCACAGGTAAATCTCTACTTTGATGGGTCCACTTGTAATAGAGTTGTGATTGATTTGTTAGAGAGCTAGTATAAAACCTGTCACTGCTATACATTATTAGTGGGAAGGTTAAAGGGATGGCTGTAGAAAGGTTTTATATTTGGATTTAAGTCTCAAAACTTGCTTGATAATCCTTACCAAAATAATTTTTTGTTTCACTGATTGGCCAATGATCATTTACTATTATCAATACTTAATATTATTATATATTAATGTTTCTCGTAAATGAAAAAATCCAGAAAAACATGAGAAGCTTGTTAAAGATTCAGATTCCTGTCCCCCACTCATACTCCCAGATCTACTGGATCACAACCTCTGGTGGGATTTTTTTTTTTGTGTGTGTGTGTGCTGTCCCCCACTCATACTCCCAGATCTACTGGATCACAACCTCTGGTGGGATTTTTTTTTTTGTGTGTGTGTGTGTGTGTGTGTGTGTGTGTGTGTGAAAGCTCCCCCAGGAGATTCTGTGCATAGTAAAGTTAGAGAACCTTTATGTAGATAAAACTAACTGGCTGTCATATTTTTCACTATTCAACTGAGTCAGAATTGTATAAGTCCCACTTCAGCTTGCCCATAAATTGTTTTCAGTCTTACAAGGCAAATTAGGGCTTAGTATTTAAGCGAAGTGTCCTTAGAATCTTTGCACAAAGGCAAAGTTCAACTATGAGTATCTTTGTAATTTTCAAAATCTAAGAAATTTCTAATGAGCAAAATGAAAATAATTTATTTTTAATTTATTTTATTTTTTGGCAGCTAACTGGTATGGGGATCTGAACCCTTGACCTTGGGGTTATAACACCACACTCTAACCAACTGAACTAACTAGTCAGCCCAACAATTACAATTAAATATAAAAAATGGAACTTGACACTAGAGTTCTTCATAGACCAGATTACCATTTTATTTTTCTACTCCTGACACTCAATTCATAGGGGGTGAAAAAATAATAGGACATAATCAACATACAAACATAATTAAAAACCATTTAACTATTATAGCTGTTCTTTGTAAAGTACACAAAGGTAAACAGAAACATCTTTATATAAATTATACTTAATCTGTATACCCTGTAAAACAATTTAAAATTCACACTAAGATCCTAATGCAAGCAGTGGTGTACAAAAGTGCAAACAAAGTAAGTGATGACCTTATCACTGACCTACCTCTTCAATGTATTTTGCATTCAGCCAAATACTGAAGGACTCAACGTGGAAAACACTTTTAAAGTAATGTGACTACATTCACCCTGAGTGCTTCTTGCCTCAAAATGGCAAATTGGTTATAGGGTCAGGTTAGGAGCAGCATCAGGGAATATAGAAACCCATATGAAGTTGGCCATTCTGACGTGAATCTTTATACTTGATAATAAGAACAATTCTGAAGAAAACCTATATGTCAAAAACTGTAGAAATGTCACCCCCTTTTACCTCCAGATATTTAAAACTAAAATTAAATCTAATCCTCCATGTAAAATGCATGGTGAAGAAGAATCCATCCACTTCAGTGCAGCTTTTCCAAAAATAATTCTGCATTAAATCACTTTCCCATTTCTGCCCTAACATCTATTTGGGATGGAGGCACACCTGAAACAAAGTTTGCTTTGGATAACCTCGCTTACTTTACTTTGATTACTTTGGATTTTATTTAAAAGTGTGGTCAAAATCCTAAACAATCAATCAGTGGCATAAACTATATTAACTACTTAATGTTCTAAATTACAAGGATAAAAATCAGTTGGTTCAGAAATGCATCTTCAGTAGTCTCCGCAGATTCTAATCACACTTGGGGATCTTTTTTTTTTTTGGTGGCTGGCTGGTTTGGGGATCTGAACCTGTGACCTAGGTGTTACAAGGCTGTGCTTTAACCAACTGAGCTAACTGGCCAGCCCTATTTTGTTTATTTATTTTTGGTATCTGGCTGGTACAGGAATTGAACCCTGGACTTTGGGGTTATCAGCACCACATTCTAACCAACTGAACAACTGACTTGCCCCTTACGTGATTTTTTAAATCCAGGTGTGGGGTAGGGATGTATGAGAGGGAATGGTTATAGGGTTCAGGAGTGAAACATGGTTTTAATAAAATCTCAATCACTCTACAAAGAGGCACAGTCACATATTCCAAGAGCTTGTTCTTTTTTCTTTTCTTGGTCATAAAGCACTAACTTGAACTTCAAAAGGACAGAAATGATAATGGAAGTGACCAGAAGCATCGACATGTAGCTTTGATAATAAAGTGTAATTAAAAGCAGTCATTAAAACAGGTGTGGGGTAGGAATCTCTTTTAAAATATAAAAGTGGGCTGAGACTTTACATTTTTAGAGTTTTGGGCTTCAGATTTTAAAACAACTTTTGAAAAGTGCCTGATTTGTATGGAATCCAGTCTTAACTTGTATATAACAGTGTTAACAACTATACTTTGACATCTTACAGTGTGGGAAACAAAATTAACTTATGTCCCTGATACTAATATTTACCTGGGCAATACTCCACAGAAGCATTCACTTGTACAGGCAAATGCAGAGTTGTCTTTCCCGTGTGCTTCTACTATTTCTTGCCATTCTCTTAATTTGCTTCTCTTGAAAGGGAGCAGTGAGCCAGCACCCAGTGTATGTACTCTGGAAGGTTTCTCCAAGTGGATGGTAAATCCTCTGGCTGGAGAACTCTGCCCCCTGGAGTTGGTAGGAAAGCTGGTTGCTGCTAAGTGCAGCTTCATTTCTAGAGGCTTGGGCCATAAGAATCTTATGGTCCACAAAACAACTTATTTCTTTGATCCCAGTGTCAGAAGTGGAGCAGGATATTCTGTATCAAGAAGCACTTTTCCCCTCTAGAGAAACCAATAAGCTTTCTCCTTTATACCAGTTTATGGCACAAATAATTAGTTTCTTGAGTATTCCAATGGACACTCTAGGAAATTCTTGAAGAAAGACATGTCCCTGAAGGTACTGAAGACTGATACCATGAACAAGAGGCAGTTACTTTTAATAAGGCTTAGTTCTATTTAGTTAGGACTTTAGGAGTGAGTACTTTAAACCTATCTGGCAAAATAAACCAACAGGCTGCAACGGCATTTTCCCTTACTACTACTGATGTTTCTAGGCAGGGAAGAAGCTCTTTTATTTACGAAAAAAAAAAGCTCTTTTATTTAGCTCACTTAAAAAAAACAACTGCAAGTGAAACAGATTAACCAAATTATTAAAACTAAGTATGTTAGGGGCCAGCCCGTGGCTCACTCGGGGGAGTGCGGTGCTAATAACACTAGGGCCCCGGGTTCGGATCCCATATAGGAATGGCCGGTTCACTCACTGGCTGAGCGTAGTGCTGACAACACCAAGTCAGGGGTTAAGATCCTCTTACCGGTCATCTTTTTTTAAAAAAAAAAAAAACTAAGTATGTTAGGAAATGACCTTGTCAGTTTAGCTAAGTGATAATTCCTTCCAGTAATATCTCAATCTTCATCTGCTTCATAGGTTACACACTTGATGACAAAAGGATTATAACAACTCTGACTTGGACAATGGCAAGAGAAAACACTAACTTTGCATTAAAATTATTCTTGATGGAATTGGAACAATCTATTCTCAATGGAATTGGTTAAAAATGCTATAAAAATTGGTTTATAATCAGAAGAGAAATCTTAAGCTTGAGAGTCTTTAAAAATACATTTTTGCACTTACCTTTCATCTTATCTAACTAATGATGACATATGAAAAAAAGAACTCAATTTCTTAGGAAATTATAAGGCTTTTAAAGAACTAACTAAAATATGATTAGTAAGTCTAGCAGTAAGGCTTGCAGACACTATCACATGGCAAGCATTATATCTAAAAACAAAAGTCTTTGTGCTATAAAGTAAGGGCTAGCTGAAAACTAAAAAAAAAGAAAAAGAAAATTAAAAAACAAACATTTGTTTTCTTCCTACCAGAAAATAAAATATGCCAAAGAATGCAAATGAGCTATTGGATAGGAGCAAAATCCCCACCTATCTCGGTGATGACTGGAGCAGAACAAGCTGTTTCTTTTTCCTCAGTTGTGCAGGTCTCTACGGTGAAATTGTCCCCAAAATACTACTTATTGCCTGCCCTGGGGAGTACCTCTAAATATGGAGAGACTGGTGCCTGTCAGTACTTTCGGTGAAGAGGCACAGATTACTAACCTGGACACCAATAAGACTGGAGCACTTCAGAATTAGACAACTGGGATACAACTATAGGGCCCATCAAACTGAGAGTCAACCTTGTGTACTGTAGATGTGCTTTTCTTCAAAAGGCTGATACCACAGGGACTAGGACACGGACCCCATCAGCACTGGTTATAATAGCATTATTGATAAAAATACACATGATTCAGAGAGAAACATGGTGGGGCTGGAGCGTGGCTCACTTGGGAGAGTGCGGTGCTGATAACACCAAGGCCACGGGTTCAGATCCCATACAGGGATGGCCAGTTGCTCACTGGGTGAGTGTGGTGCTGATAACACCAAGTCAAGGGTTAAGATACCCCTACTGGTCATCTTTTAAAAAAAAAAAGAGAGAGAAACATGGTATCAGGTACAACCAACCACAACTGTCTCATAGTAAATACTGTCTCGTGGTAAATGCAATAGCCTCTAGGGGCTTAAACATTAAACACTCTAAAGAAATTTCCTTTCTCAACAATCCCCTCATATGTATAATATTAAATACTCAAATTTCAGATTATACCAGCTAGATAAGACACATTCAAATGAAACATTTGTCCAACAAGGACGCCAAACATTAAAGTTTGTTTTATTGCATGACGTTTGCATAAGAAAAAATATTATTGAAAACTGTAAGGCATCATGCAATAATTGATAAGCTCATTATTAACTGTACACTTAAGATAGATGAATATAATCTAAAATTTAAAAACTACTTCCAAAAAGTACATACAAAATTTGACATGATGAGCATTTAAATATGGGGTATATATGTGGTTTCATGTTGTTAAAAAGTGCTTCAAATGTACTGCTGGAAAGTTGCTCTTTATAAATGGTGCTGGGAAGATGTCAGATTATAAACTGTAAAAACTAATTATTTTTATGGAATTAGAAAGCTAACATTGTGATATTCAAACTTACTTGAATCAGTTTTGGATTCTCATTCAAATTAAGTTGACATAATATTAATAATCTAAAAAACATCTGCTTTCTAACCAACAAAAGTCTATTGAATTCAAGTTATGCATGTTGAGTGTCAAATCTCTGAGTAGGCCTGACTGTTGAGACCTGGAACCCAGGCAGGTTGTTGTTAATCAATGTACTGCGCCATCCAGCGGAAGCCTTCTCCATAACCTTGTCTTTTGAGCACACTGCACATGAAAACTTCTAGGGGTCGGGCATTCAGTTCTTTCAGAGATACACTGCCCTAGAAGAGGAGAGAGACATTATGTTGCAGCTTTATGAAATAAAAGCCCCACTACCCAGCAGAATTACATGTTCTACTTAAGAACAAAGGGTGACTGTGATAAAGCCATGGCTGCTTGACATCCAAATCCCCTAAACACATAGGAAGCCTCCTCTCACTCCACCTTAGGACAGGATGGCACTCAGTGGTGAGTTTGTGAGCCCACAAGAATAAAAATAATCTGTCTTAGAAAAAATCCAAACTGGCTTTAATGGTATTAAAGACAACATTCTTTGAGTAAGTTTATGACCAAACAAGGCATTTCCTAAAATTAATGTGGAGCTGACTATTAAAACAGACCAAAGTCTACTTTGTCTAACATGAGAGTCTCCTCCTATATGCTCTAGTATTTCTCTAACCTAAAAGAGTATATGTAAACCAAGGAAATTTTATTTATAAACTCTGGCATTCTTCCATTGTTTTACGTGGGATTTTTCTTCTTTCTTTTTTTTTAAAAAAAGATGACCGGTAAGGGGATCTAAACCCTTGACTTGGTGTTGTCAGCACCACGCTCAGCCAGTGAGCTAACCGGCCATCCCTATATAGGATCCAAACCTGTGGCCTTGGTTTTATCAGTGCCACACTCTCCTGAGTGAGCCATGGGCTGGCTCCAATGTGGGATTTTTCAATACAGATGGTCCCCCCCCCAAAAAATCCTAGTAAAAATGAACGTAAAAATATTTTAAAACATTATAAAGTATATGTTCAGAAAACCCTAAAACACTCCTATACCCAAGTTCACATCTTATTTATCTCTGATGAACTCAGGGCCTAAACACACTGTTGGTATGCTTAAAACACTCAAATATATATATATATATTTAAGTGTTTAATAGTGTGTTTAGGCCTTATTTGAGTGTTCTGAAAATTTATGATAAATAAACTTTGAAAGCTTTAATTCAGTTTCCCATAAGTGCAAGCTTTAGGAGTAACTGAACCCTGACATTTCTATTATCACCAAGAAAAGTTTTCATTCAGTGGCAGAAAGAAATGAAGACATTTTTAAAAAATTCAAATGTATAAATGCCAGTTCTCTTTAAGAAAAAAAAAATAATGGGCTTGTGTAGTTGGACAATAGTAATTTAAGAAGACATTTGTACTGTAGAATTAAATACTCGCACTTGTCAAAAAGTTTTCTTTTACCTTTCCTGTTGTCTGACCATATAAACCAAACGTCTCTCGTAACCTCTCTTCACTGATGGCTTCAGGTCTGTCAATCTTATTCCCAAGAATCAGTATAGGCACATTAGCAATAGTTTCATCTGTCATTAGTGACTGAAAAAAACCCAAAACAAAACAACAGACGTTGATATGAAACCATCTAAAGGACTTATTTTGAAAAGATACCAAAATAGTCAAGGATTCATTCTCTATCATATCACGTCATGCCAACTTTCTTTGGCAAACTTTTCCCACATTTTAAAGTGAGCTTAAAGAAAGCATAAGCTCAATTCTTCTGTTTCTTTAAGAATCATTCTGCAAATGCTCACTATGTAAATCAGTGAGCTAGAGAGGCTAGGGCCAACGCCTCAGAGGTGGGCAGACCTGGTTTCATTTCTGGTTCTGCTGCTTTTGATTTGTGACCTAGGGCAAGTTAGCCTCACTGAAGCTCAGAGAGAATTGAGAATAGTAGCACGTACCTTCTGGAGTTGATGTGAGAATTAAATGAAGTCATATGCACAGTGTCTAATATAAGGAAGGAACTCAGGAATTCCCTGACCCTATTCCATGACCACAGACCTACCTGGACTTTTCCACATGAACAAGTATTTGTTTGCCTCTCTGGGTAGAGGCACGGTTGGGTCAACCTTCAGTCAAATCATGGATCTGCTTACTTTGTGGCCCCAGATCTAGTGCTGGCTTTGCTTGCTGCTCCTGAGCACCTTTATGAAGCCTCTGAACTGGGAGATGGGAGAGGAGACACCTACACACGCCCCTCCTCCCTCCTGGGAGTGTTAACAAAGATGGCGTGTTCTACTGTTCCTAGGTCCTGGCCAACTCCTGAAGAAATGGCATCTTAATATGACCAGGGACTCAAGATCCACCCACTCCAGGAATGTAGTGGACATGAAATATACTAGGAGGTCATACTCTGTACAGGGTGAACTCCTCAATTCTTCAGGAAGAATGTCTGTATTAGTACTTTCTCAATAGCTGCAATTACTCCAAGTTACTCCTTCTGCATTCTAAGTAATCATTACTTAAAGCAATCACTGAGCTTAACAAACTACCAGAAGTTTCATCAGAGACTGCAGAAAAGCTGAACTCTGCTATCTATATCTCTAACATATTTCTTCAGGCTTATCAGAGTGATTTAACTATGTTTAGTTTTAATTATTTAACTTAGATCAAGTTCTCCTGCACTGGCCAGCTGCCAAAAACAAAAACAAAAAAACCAACTTACATCAAGTTCTTCTTTTGATTCTAACAGCCTTTCATGGTCTGCACAGTCCACCAGAAATACAATGCCATTGATAGCAGGAAGGTAGTTTTTCCACACTCTTCGAGCTAACAAAAACAATCAGGAGTTAGATTTTATTTGCTGGTCTAACCTACCAGATGGTTTGACTGAAGAGTCCGACAAGATATCAAAGTGTAGTTATCCCTTAGCTGTTGCTACTTCACTATATATCCAAGTTAATCTTTTCACCCAATGGTGCCAAAAATCTTCACAGAATATGAAAGAAGATATTTCAGGCTTTCCCCGATTGTGGGCAAGTCAGATATTTTATTCTCCCCCAGTTTTCCCATGTAAGAAGTAGAATTGGGTTGGCCAGTTAGCTCAGTTGGTTAAAGCACATCTCTGTAATACTAAGATCCCAGATTCAGATCCTGTGTACTGGCCAGGTGCCAAAAAACAAAACTAAACAACAACAACAACAACAAAGTAGAACTAGTATTTGCCACCATTGGACAATGATGTACATTAAGTTCATTGGAGGACTGCTAGTATATAAATCTAAAATATAAACAGTAAAAAATTTATATATAGTTGACCCTTGAACAACACAGGTTTGAACTGCATGGGTCCATTAACATGCAGATTTTTTTCAGTAAATATACTAAAATTTCTTCTCTTCATTATGATTTGCTTAATAACATTTTCTTTTGTCTAGCTTACTTTATTTATTGTAAGAATATAGTGTATAGAACATAAAATGTACAAAATATGTGTTAATCAACTGTTATCTGTAATGCTTATAGTATATACAGTAATTAAGTTTTGGGGAAGTCAAAAGTTATACACAAATTTTTGACTGCATGGGAGGGAGGGTCAGTTCCCCTTACCCCACATCGTTCAACTGTATATATAATATGTAATATGTATATGCAGTATGTATATGTATTTTTTGCCATTTCCAGTTTATCAGTTTTTTTGCCAGTGATAAATTTGGCATCAGTGACAGAAGTAAATTGGTACCAGGTATATGCTTAAGTTAAAATAATAAAAGCAAAATATTCTACCTAACAAGCTCAAATGTTAATAATTAATTAAAGTTTATGAAATCATAAGGGTAATTTTTTTCCATGACATTCTTTTTTTAGAGAAGAAAGTTTTTGGGGTACCCCAGGGAAAAATAACTTTCCTCTCTGACTTGAGTTTTATGGCATATCTTGAAAACAACATAGAAATGAAGTTGACAAACTCCATTATATTACAATTCCCACTAATCATCATATTCCAGAAATTAATTATTTTATATCTGAAATGTGTTTTCACTAGCTACAACCACTTAAAATCTTTTCAACTATATGTCATATCAGGTTTTTAGAATGCCTATCAACTCCGTAATATTCATAAGTTATGACTTACTATGTGCTGAACACTGCCAAGCACTTTTGGGGATATAAAAAAGAACAGGAATTTAGTCTCAGAAAGTTTGGTATAGGAGATAAGACAGTGTTTCTAAACTTGTAGACACGTATGAAAAAGCACTAAATTCTATGGAAGTACAGTTGAGAGCACTCCTAGCTGGGAGTGGTTTCCCAGGGGAGGTAGCAGGATGTACACTGGGCCGTGAAGGGCTTACTCAAGTTCAGATGGAGATGGCATGAGCAAAAGCACAGAGGTAGGAGAACATCAAGAAGGTCTGGTTTGGTTTGAGTAAAGAGAATGGGAAGAATAGCAGGAAATAAACACTACAAAAGTAAACCTGGACAGCTCACAGAGATCCTGAATGCCAGGTGGAGTTTGGCCTTTATTTTGTAGGTAATAACTTAGCCACTGAAGGGTTTTTTTTTTTTTTTTACAGAGCAGCAACATGTTCATAACAGGGCTATGACACCAGGTGAAAGGTAGATTGAAGCAGAGAGAGAACTGAAGGTAAATTTTACTCATATACTTTACCACCAAAGCAATTCAGACTTAAATTGACCAGAAGAATCATGAAAACCACCCTTTGCTTTTAAAGCATTTATGTGGGGGTAATAATTCCTAAATTTAAGTCTACTCTGGCCTTGATTGAATAGAATGAGATTTCATGCAGTGGAACATAATGGCCACATTTTTATTAAGTTAAAATAAAAAAAAGCAACTATAAGAGTAATAGAATCTTACCTTGAACGTGTCCACCCAGATCAAAAGTTGTAAAAGTCATGCCAGCAATAGTTAGTTCTTCTGAAGCTGAATAATACAAAATATTTTTATAACATGAAAATCAGAAATCCATTCATGGCATATATTACTACTTAATGTTTGCTTTACTTTTATTGCAAATAAGGTCAAATCAAACATTTAGGAACTGGCAAAAGAATACTTTGCTGTAATTAGATACTCTCCAATTCATACTGACAATATAACACAAATAATTGTAATATTCAATTCTGATGTTCACTAGCCACCACAAATCCAACATTTACTTTCCTTCTCTATTCCCCCTGCTGAAAACAATCTATTCAATTATTTGTTACGAATTCAAATGACTGCTCCAATCTCATAATTTTTCATGTAATTACTTAAATGATACAGGTGAAATAATTTTTTTTATGGCTGCCATGAGATAGTCTTTAATGAAAAACACAATTATAATACAAAATGTTGGCCATTATTTCTTCAAATATTTTTTCTGCCCCGTCCCTTGCCCTTCTGAGACTTCAATTACAAGTTTGTTGGACTGCTTGATATTGTCCCCCAAGTCACACAGACTTTATTTTTCTTTCAGTCATTTTTCTATGCTTCGTTTTGTACTTTCTATTGCATTGACTTAAGTTCACTGGTCTTTCCATCTGCAGTACTGGCACTGTCTAATTTGCTGTTAAACCTATCCCATGAAATTTTCATTTCAGATATTGTATTTTTCATTTCTAAAAGTTTCATTTGGTTCTGTTTTATATCTTCCATTTCTCTCATTATGTTCATGTTTTCCTTTAAATCCTTGAGCACATTCACAACAACTTTGACATCCTTATCTGCTAATTTCATCATCTTTGTCACTTTCGCATCTGTTTTTACTGATTCCTTTTTCCCCTGGTTATGGATCACATTTTCCTGCTTTTTGCATGTCTAGTAATTTTATATTGGATGCTGGATTTTGTTGTATTCCTTTGAAGAAGAAGGTTGGGCTTTGTTCAGGCAGACAGTTCAGTTGCTTGCAGATTGGTTTTTAAGTTTTGTTATGGCAGATTTATTTATTTATTTATATTTTTAAAGATGACCAGTAAGGGGATCTTAACCCTTGACTTGGTGTTGCCAGCACCACGCTCTCTCAAGCAAGCTAACCAGCCATCCCTATATAGGGATCCGAACCTGTGGCCTTGGTGTCATCAGCACCACACTCTCCCAAGTGAGCCATGGGCTGGCCCTGTTATGGCAGACTTAGAGTAGCCTTTACTTTGGGGCTAGTTTAGTCACACTACTAAGGTATACTCTTTCTGGGGTCTCTATTAAATGCCCTGTGTATCTAGCCAAGTGTCTTTTCATTCTGGCTGGTGGGAACTTGAATGATTCCTAGCCCTATGTGAGCTCTAGTAATTATTTGGCTAATGGCTCCCTATAATTGTTCCTTCTCAGAAATCATCCTTTGACTGGCCTTGTGGAGTCTTACCCTCTACATGTACAGATTGGTATTCAGCCATGCAAATTTCTGGAGTCCTTTCTCTCCAGACCTCCCTCCTTTCCAGTACTCTGTCCAGCAAATTCCAGTCACCTTGGCCTTCCCACATTCTGGTCTCTATCTCCTCAACTCAGCAAGACTACTGGGCTATGTTTGGGTTTCTTCTCCTTGCATCATGGTCTGAAAATTACCTTCCGGAATAAAGCTAGAATAAAGAAGAGTCTGCCTTCTTTTTCTCAAGAATCATAGTCCTCTGCTAGCTGTTGCCCAATGTCTGAAAACAGTTGTATATTTTTGGGCTGGTTTTCTAGTTGTTTACAGTGGAAGGGTAATTCCAGACCCTTTTACTCATGGCCAAAAGCAGAAGTCCACCACAATTACAATGAGTTTCAGTACTCTGGCCCAGAGCAATTTATCTAGTTAGGAAATTCTGCTGTACCCCATAATACGTGCAATAATTTGTACAGTTATGTATTAAAAATAATATAAAAAAGAAATTCTGTATGTAGATTGCAAAACTGAATGAAATACTTAATACGGGGCTGGCCCGGTGGCTCACTTGGGAGAGTGCAGTGCTGATAACACCAAGGCCCCAGGTTCGGATCCCATATAGGGATGGCCGGTTCGCTCACTGGCTGAGCGTGGTGCTGACAACACCAAATCAAGGGTTAAGATCTCCTTACCGGTCATCTTTAAAAAAAAAAAAAAAAAAATACTTAATACAATCTGTGTTCAAAGTCACTATCCATTAAAAAAAAAAAAGATAGGCCGGCCCGTGGCTCACTCGGGAGAGTGCGGTGCTGATAACACCAAGGCCACGGGTTCGGATCCCATATAGGGATGGCCGGTTTGCTCACTGGCTGAGCGTGGTGCTGACAACACCAAGCCAAGGGTTGAGATCCCCTTACTGGTCATCTTTAAAAAAAAAAAAAAAAAAGATAATGCTTGGATGTGGATGGCAAACCACCTGCATGGTTACAATCCCTCATATGCTCCCTGCTTTATAAAAGAAATCCCAATTTGATTGATTAAAATCCAGAACACTGTTAACATCCCAGAAAGTCTCCTCTTGCCCCTTCCTGGTCAATCTCCACCTCCGCCCCCAGAAGCAACCACTGATCTGAATTCTATCACCACAGGTTAGTTCTGCCTGTTCTAAAATTTTATATAAATCGTATCATACGGTAGGTAATGTTTTGTGACCAGCTTCTTCCACGTAGCATAATATGACTGAATGCATCAGCAGTTTATTTCTCTTTCTTGTTGAGTAGAATTCTATTGTGTATTCATTCTTTTTTGATGAACATCTGAAGTGTTTCCAGTTTGGGGTTATTACAAATAAAGCTGGTATAAACATTCTTGTAAAAGGCTTTTCGTAAATACATGTTTTCACTTCTCCCAGATAAATACCTAGGAATAGAAATGTAAGATCAAAGGATATATGTATGTTACCTTTTTCACTTATGCTTTTGACTAACTGAAAAGTCTAAGTTGAAATCAACTGAGCTGCAGGAAGGTTGAGATAGCATCTGTTTTGTGCCACTGCTGTACCCTAATATCTCTAGAACAATGTCTGACATAAAATAGGTGCTCAATAAATATCTGTTGAATAAATTAAAGAGAGCAACATCAAAAAAGTAAAAAAGACTTACACCTAATATAAGATCATTCTGTAGCCTCTTCTTTTTTTTTTTTTTTGTCTTTTGTCTTTTGTCTTTTTCCGTGTCCGGCAACAGATCGCAACCCTCAGTGTTGCCCCCGTACCGGACCGGGGACCGGCAACGGGATTGCAACCCTCGGTGTTGCTCCCGCGCCTCGCTCAGCCAGTGAACGGGAACCGGTCTGCACGTGGGATCCGAACCCTCGGGCGGGAGCGCCGCCACACTTCCCAAGCGGCGCACCATCCAGTGCGCCACCGGGCCGGCCCTCTGTAGCCTCTTCTAATTCTGCTGTTTTTACAGATAATTTTATATACTCAATTTCACCATGATTATTTTTTCTTTAACAGTATTGTTCTTGTATCAGAATCTTATTTGATAGGCTGGCCTGTGGCTCACTTGGGAGAGTGTCAAGCTGGTGGCACCAAGGCCACAGGTTCGGATCCCTATAAAGGGATGGCCAGTGAGCTCACTTGGGAGAGCGTGGTGCTGACAACACTAAGTCAAGGGTTGAGATCCCCTTTAAAAAAAAGAATCTTATTTGACAAGCTCCACTCTCTTCTCCTAATATAAAAAAAGATTTATCAATTTTATGAAATCTTCCTTTTCCAACCTCACTAACAGTTTTATAGATAAAATGATCCTTTGTTTTGTTTTGTTCTGTTCTTCTTCCTTGTTCTTTGAACATTTACTGAACTAAATAACTATGGTATTATCTACTTTTTGGTCCAGTTCTCAATTTTATACTCATTATTTCATAATTAATTTGTGGATTAACTTGTCTTTAAACTTTGTGTCTACTTCATTCATAATCATTTACACCAGTAAAAGTAAGGTCACAAGTATTTATTTATTTATTTATTTATTTTTTTTAAAGATGACCGGTAAGGGGATCTTAACCCTTGACTTGGTGTTGTCAGCACCACGCTCACCCAGTGAGCCAACTGGCCATCCCTATATGGGATCCGAACCCGCGGCCTTGGCGTTATCAGCACCACACTCTCCCGAGTGACCCACGGGCCAGCCCAGGTCACAAGTATTTATAAATTAGGTTTTTTCCAAATAATTTTGCCACTTCAATATTACTTTCTCAATTAATACCCATTATATAACTTTATACACTAAAGTAATTTACAGTCATTATTAATGTTTTTCAGGTGGTCTTTCTAAAAAAAAGCAAGCAAATTATTTTTAAAATCATTTTAAAGCTTTTTATAAATGTATCAATACATGCCCTGTTTCTTGGATTAATTCTATGGTGTTCATATCAGATATGGAGATTGTTAGTACTAGAAAGATAACTGGTTAATAAATTGAGAGTTGCCAGCAATGTATAAAACTATAATCTGTCTACTGAATTCATGATTAAAATAGTGTGTTTTAAAATTTGAAAGAAATTCTGGTTATGTAAACAAGGTAATGGTGGACCGTTTACCAATCATGTCACAATTCCTGGGACAATAACTTTTTAATTCCTATAACTGGAGAAGGGAGTACTAACTGATAAAAAGGTATGTGTATTATTTCAAGATCTAAAAATACTCCCTGGGAGCTAGGTCACCTATTAGCTACCATATGATTTTAAGAACAGATCAAATCACCTGATCATAATTTAACTGCCAAAAAAACCCCCGCCAAATAAAAAACTTTTGGTTAGCATCTATGACTCAGCATCACTCAATCACGTGTTATGTTGTATGGGGGAATATACTTACTGGGATGTAATGTTGGGACATGTTGTCCAAGTCTGTCATCTTTTAGCATGTGCAGCAATGTTGTTTTTCCTGCATTATCCAATCCAAGAAATACCAATTTACCAGTTTTCTTATATAACCCTGCAGAGTAAGAGCTATGATTGGTCAAAGTGATATCTGACACAGATTATCAAAATGACTTTATATTGGGCCCAAATAAGTTTGGATTTCTAAATCTATTTTCAGTTTTAAAAGAGCTATTTTTAATCTATGGATGATCTGGGACTTAAATAATTATAAAACTAAACTTTGCCCCAGTCAATAGAATATGTGTTGCTTAAACATATCTACAATGCCAAAATGCTGATTACCTTGACAATTTTTAGGGGTCAATATCTGTGTCCTCTTTTAGGGAAACATATAAGAATTGACATCATGTATTTATGAAGCTAGATTGAAGAAAAAAATTAAAGAAGAAATTTTTCATGAATAAAAATAACATCAACAATAAAAACTACAGTGAGAGTTTTTTCAGTCAAAAAGTTAAATATTTCGGGCCGGCCCGGTGGCGCACTGGTTAAGTGCGCCGCTTGGGAAGCGCGGCGGCGCTCCCGCCCGAGGGTTTGGATCCCACATACGGACCGGTTCCCGCTCACTGGCTGAGCGAGGTGTGGGGGCAACGCCGAGGGTTGCGATCCCGTTGCCGGTCCCCGAAAAAGAAAAAAAACAAAAAAAAAAAAAAAAAA